TAGTTTTGATGCAAAAACGCATGATCGCACCGGCTCGCCTGGTGCGTTCCAGCCTTTGTTAAATTTACCCAGTAAAAAACGTTGTACTCAGATTTTGATCAGCTGCAGTTTTCTGCTGCACCTGTAGCAGCTTTCCAGTTGCTTTGACCAATGCGGCATCGTTATCGGAAAATTTTTTGTCGGAAGCGTGGCGATTATTGTTAAGCACAGTGATTCTGCTGTGATTAGTTCGTGAAATGCTTAGTACTGCTTTTTGTCCTTGACGGTCTGGGCTAAAGTCTCTTCAGGAGATAAGCATTCTCTTTTGCCCATTAACTTATGGGTATTTCTGGATTAAAGCAGTCACCCGCTTATGCAGTTCACTGCTTTGCCTCAAAATATTATACTTCAGATTGAGTGAGCTGCCAAAAAGCCGTTTTTTTGCAGGTATTTACACACTCGTGATTTCGCATCATCACGACCATACTCGTTCACACGTGTGTACGGCAACACGTCCACATATACGCCACCAATGCTTGCTGCCGAGACACGCAGGCTAACGCAACGGCGTAATTACACGGGTTACACGTATGTTGGTGCGGAACACAGCTACGACGTCTCATCACGACCTTACTCACTTGATAACTATCGCTTCTGGCGATCGCATGTCGCCAGGTACTGCTAATATTTTCTTGCAAAACCTCTGTTCTTAAGAAAAAAAAGAATGACCTGTGTCCTCAAAAATAATGACCCTTATAAGAGTTGCTGGGATGATCATTTCATTCAGAATATAAATTGTATAAAGAATATAAATTGTGTAAGAGGCCGGGCTTAATGCATGTCGTCTGAGTTGCTGGACTCAGCATAAAATATTAAAGTCTTTTGTTTTGGTTTGTGATATTCAGGTTCTAGGCTTAATAAACGTCGCTTGCGCGCAGTTTTGTGTGAAGATTTATCCAAATGCGAATGTAGTTCTGCTGTAGTATTTAAAAGGGTATTTCAAATTAACTGCGGATGAGGGAAACCTAGTGCGAACGGAGTACTTTCTTGGATTTGGAGCCCGTGTACATAATATATACTGCGTTTCCCTTTTGCATACACACACTTCTTTCGCCTGCTTTTCGCAGCACTTCCACGACACCTAGTACCACTGTTCATGAGTGAAGGGGAGAGGGGGAAGGGGGAGGGGAGGAGGAAAGAGCGAATTGTGATACTGACGACACATAGGCGGTATCTCAGTGTGGTGTAAATGTAGTAAATGCAGTAACATTATGCAGCTCGCCATGGTACTGGTCTTATTATGGTAACAGTGG